AGTAAAAAAAAAAATATAAATCGTCCAAAATTTATTCCTAACAAGATTCCAGTTACGGCAATTCACGCGAACAATTTGAAGCAACAAATTAGGGGTTAGTGGTCATTAGGCCCTCACTGCATGTTATTTGGGCCCAGTTTAATTACGTTAAATGTATACCGTTTACAAATAATAACACACGGCTCCGGCGATGTGGGGAAATAGGTAATTGTAGGCTTTCAATGGGCGACTTGATTGTTGGCCGTTTATGAATACTTACTTAGTTTGATTTTGTATGAAGTTCTTTCGTTTTATCGATTCGTTCGTATTTAATCGAATGTAGGTAGGTAGGTAGGTAGTGCTGAATTTGAAACAGCTGTATTATTTCCTTTGTCTCGTTAATTGAGATCGATTTTGTCGTGTGATTGTTAAAGATAGTAAATGTGGTTATTAAAGCTATATCTATACTGATATTATAAAGAGGAAAGATTTGATTGTTTGTTTGTATTGAAAAGGCTCCGAAACTACTGGAGCTATTTGAAAAAATCTTTCACGTTTAGAATGCTATATTATCCCCGATGAACATAGGCTATAGAGTATTTTAAAAAAAGTTAAAGTTCTTTATGAAAACTTCGTTAACGCAACCCAGGGTGTGAAAAAAATACCATAAAAATAACCTCATATCGCTTACGCTGCGAAAGTCATTGACAGTAGAGCAATTTGATGTATTAAAGTTTTATATAGGACATAGGACATCAATATCTACAAAAAAAGTCAGCGATACCATATGTCTAACTATTACAGTTATGTCACAATTAAAGGTCCCCCTGCGGTTTCACCCGCGTTAATTTGAGGAAAAGGGTTATTTATAGTGAGCCAAATTTAAAAGATGGGCATATGCTGTCGCGGACTTTTTTTATAGAAAATTTAAAGGGTAACGATTCCGCCATATATGATTTTTGTGAAACTTTAATCATTTACGCAGCGCAGGAAACAGAAGCTCACAAATGGAATATTTTTACCCGTTTAAGCAACATTTTACATCGATAATCCGCTCCTACCGGTCAAACCGTGATGAACCTTAAGATTTCCTCAATAAAATCACTATATGAAACAAAAAGATTTCTTCAAATCAGACAGTTTCTGAGATTTGCGCGCTCAACAAAAAAAAACCGTTTGTACTGAACACACCGGTACAAACGGGGTACGCAACAAAATGTTCACTAACAGTTAAATAAATTTTCATGAAAGGTTTATAATTATAGAAAGAAATTCATTGTGTTAATACAAGCCTGAGAACAACCTATAGTCTACCTACACTACAGCTCTACACCGAAGCAAAGCGAGGGCGGGCCACTAGTTGTTTATACGTCTTAATGAATAAGATTTCTTCGAATTTAACAACGAGTAGCAAGGCCTATCTAAAATCCCAACACAAATATTCCTCTGCGCCACATTCGCCAACGCCAAAATTACACATAGTACCTATATAAAAAATGGTGCAAACGCAAGCCTGTAGTTAAATTTAAGTACCAGGTTAGTATTCCATAAAGCATGCCATAAAATAATTCTATAGTCAAAACCATGAATTAGCGACTGTCATACGAATGCGGGGTGTTTGATATCAAATTCGGATTCAGGATTTTTTGATAACTCTGATCTCGATCGTAATTTTTTTTCAGGTGACCCTTTACCTCACCATGGATATCACTCACCATACCTGGATTTTCCAAGTCATTTGAAATTTCAAAAATTTGATTTGTCACCAAAATTCGAATTGAGGATTTTTTGACGTGACAACGTCTTAAATTAGGTTGCGGCTGGGAGTCACTTATGAAAAAGTGTAACGCTCGGTAACGTTACGATGAGTTTAAGTTTACATGTACAATGTTTTAGTAAACAAAATATATTTCTATAGTTAAAATTTGTGCAATTCTTATTTTCATTCAATTCCTTGTTCCTATTGTGCAATTTAATTATATTCATATCAATAAATATTCTACCGAGAAAAAGACGTTGTCACGTAAAATCTTCGCCCGTAAAACCGACTTTACAGGCAACCATTTTTTTTTTGTTTGTATTTCATAGTTAACCGTGTTCCTGACCCTCGTGCATCCCCTGGATTTCTGAGATTTCAAAAATTGGATTTGATATCAAATTCGTATTCAGGAAAAAAAAGGCAATTTTCTATATTTTAGGTGACTCTGTCTCCTCCTCCTCTCCATGACTCCTTACCAACAAATCGTATTTTAATCCCGCACCTAGCTCCTAATATTTCAAATATCGTAACTATAATAATTTATATGCACAAAAACGAATAATAACACACTAGAGATCAGGTACAAATATGGACAATTAGTGCACTGGAAGAATGTACTTATAATCGAATTTACAATAATAATATATACAGGAACAATGACCTAAAACTAAAAACCTTAAAAAATATAATATAATAACTAAATTATATTATTAAAAGCCGCACCAGCTCTATTGTTGGTTCCATGTAGATGGGAAGGGACCAGCGTGTCTGAACAGCTTGCATCCCATACCAGTACCAGGCCCATCTTCCATGGAATCAAACTCATACCGTCATATTCGTCGAATTAGTATTGCTATGAAATCACTCGATAGCAATTCAAAATCATCGTATCCTATGGCGCTCACGTTGAGATCGTGCAACGGGCATAGCCTCAGGGGTTTTTTATGCAAGTCAAATAGGTTAGCTGCTATGTCGGTCGAGTGATTTTATGCTAATTCTCCCACAGTTGATTATGCAAAACCGCCACTCGCTAGTGCAGTTTGGGTATCGACACGGGTATCGATTTATAGTTTGCATAGAAACTGTCTTAAAACAGACGAGATCTTGCGATTCAATGTCCTCAGAGATATATAAAGAAATTCTTACAAATTAGAGCTTGGGATGTAAGTTTTATGTTATGAACAATTAAATTGATAAATATTTTAGATAAGTAATAATTATGATTTTATTTATTTTTTAAGCATTTAACTGCTAGATGTTTAAATCTAAAGAAAAGTTTACTAGAAAAAAAATAAGTAATAATTTTTTGTAAGCGTAACCTGTTGATTGTAAATTTTCACCGTCATTGCCAAACCTATATATGACGAATATATATATTGCAAGGCCACAAAAGGCGACAAAAACTGTACTTATTGTTTTTAACCACGGTAACGATCGTAATTTGCTTGCTATTTTTTATGTTAAAAGGATGAAAATACCCCTAAATAAAAAAGCATAACACAAAACTGTCCATAGAATATAATATTATTCAACCATTATAAAAACATTCTTTAAATATTTTTTATGTCAACTTGTTAAGAGAGTGTTATTATGATAATTTGTTACTGCTCAATACATCGAACCGATTTCCTTTCACAAACCCAATTAATTCCCTCATAAATTGCTGCAGAGTTCTTCAATTAACGTTGAACCTATTGTCTGAGGGAATCGACAGATCAATCCCTCGCTGTCACAGCCCTAATCCCCCGGGGTCAGCGGTATCAAATTTGCGTTTTAATTAAATATTCCTGTGGTAGGACCGTTTTTGTTGCAAATTGTTTTCACTGCCGCGTCAGCGTTCTGAGCGATGCCGATTTGTGGTGATTCGCTTCATGAAATATGGTTTTTAATTACCTCATCTGCACATATTGCAATGCTATGTTGTTTATATTAGTAACATTGTTTTTATGATTGTTTTTGTGACCACGATGTATAATTAGTTTACTCTTTGCATTGACCAAACCGTGACGATACGATAGAGCACTGAATAAAAATTTGAAAGCTCAACGAAACCATAGACAATGCAAAGTTTAGTTTATAGAATAATTTTGTTGAATCAGAAGCCAATCAACGAATTTAGAGATCGATTCAATTTATTTATCGAAGCTAAAGATTTTATGCTATTACAATTCGACTTAGATAGGTATTGTTTGCATATCTTCTGGCGATGAAAACAATACGGACACGGTAGAGCGCGTGAAACTTTGTAGAGCGGTGAGAAAAGCTTCTGTGGAAAGCTCAGACACAAGATTTTCTGACTGCCCAGCCACGACTTTAGCAATAAGCCGACGAGTGCATTCGGTAGGTTGGCTTTAAGCTAGCCTCGTCGCTGTGGTCTTAGGTTTGTCGGTAATCCTAAAATTTTACTACCTACATTATTTCTCATAGTTCTCATGTACATATATTAATTTATTGTCGCGACTAGGTCAGGTAAAGGTAAAAAAATGAAAGTTTTTACTTACATGAAATCATAATCAGTGACATAATGTTATATAACTTCAGCATTAACTTTTGCAAGAATTAATTTAAAGTTGCTTCCTAATTATATGAAACTACTCGTCTGTTCCCATAAAAGGAAGAGAAGAGAAGTTGGAGTAAAAATGGTGTCCAAAAATATAAAGATTACAAAAAGGTCTTTCTTATATGAGGACCAAACAAATAATCTACAGTGCTGAATGTTTTAAATAATTCATCCAATGAACAAGGATGACAGTAGGGTCCGTGCCTATATCAGTGCTCACATTAATGACACAAATTCTTGAAAATGAACGACTAATGAATACTGAAAAACAACTAATTTCTAAATCTCCATATAGTTTTCAACCTACAAAAAACGCAGTCGCAGAACTATTTAATAAAATAGCTAAACCGTTATAAATAAGGGAAAACGCATTGGGGTTTTCCTTGAATAAGCGAAAGCCTTTGCCACGGTTTCTACTCTGATCCTCGTACATTAGCTGCACTCTGTATGTATTCCCTTGAATTACGGTTTTCTTACTAGCAGGATCCAGATTGTTAAAACTGGTAGTTTGTGCACCCCGAACTTCCGATAGCTTGCGGAGTACCACAGGGGAGTGTTAAAGGTCCAAGCCTGTTTGTCAAACAAAATCATTCATTCGTTTATATTACTTCAAAAATATATTGATTTCGTACTGTATACTGTATGTTTGAACAATTAGTCAGGTATTCTCCCCGTACTTACACGTCAGAATGTAAAACTATTGTGAAGAACATATTTTTTTCGGTCGACACCAACCAACTTTATTACGCTAGGTATTGAATTTTATTGTGTATAAAGTCAAACAATATTGAGCCGCACATGTGCCCACAAAGGGGAGTCGTCACATTTTTTCGAAACAATATGCTCGGAACAATACGTAAGGTGTGTTGCTTTACACTAATTATTTAAATAACTGAATTCAATGACAAACACACCTTGTTCATTCGGTACGTATCCTTAGTGGCAATTAGGCATGTTACAGTGTTGAATGGTGTCATATTGTAAGGTAGCGAAGAGAAAAAATGGTCAATTGAGTGCGTATCGCGTTGTGCATCTGTCTAATATTGGATCAGAACTGGATTACATTTTCAAGTGGTAAGTTTTTTATGAGTTTTTGTAAAAATATTACGTTATTGCAACAAATAATGTTATATTTAATATCAGAAGTTCTCTATAGAAAACGTTATGTACCATCAAAATATGGCAAAACTGTTTTGATAGACATATAGTGACGTGTCACGCTTATCTCCTGCACGTTTTTGCCTTCAGTATTATACAATATATTGTGTTGTTTACTATATACAATATATTGTGCTGTATATCTGTACGATATATACTATATTCTGAAATCATTGTATTAATTATATGCACCTCATCTGATAGCAGCATCCATTACGACTGAAAAGTTTTGCGGCCACACTTTTTAAGGAACAGGCGAAGTAAACATTATCAAATATGTACTGAAAGTACAATGTTGCAATTAATTGCAAACTGACATTAAGAATAATGTTTACTTTTAAAAAATACTTAAGCTGGTGAGTTCGTTTTGAAACTTGGTTGTAAAGAAAACACGTAATCACAATTAAATGCTCACGAACTGACATAATATTTTATAGTTACTAACGGGATTGTTACCATGTACCTTGTTGTTTATGAGTCACCGATATTTCGGCATTACGGCACTGTCGCAGTAACGAAATATCGGAGACTCATAAAACACAAGGTACAATCCCGTTAATAGCTATAATGTTAGTGACCATGAAAGTTTAAAACAATAACATTATATTTATTGAAAATGAGTCATAAATCTAAAGATACTAGTAAAGGAAAGTTGTCCAACACTGCCGTCCTTTTTACATAAAATAGGTAGCTAATGTGTTGAAGCTTAATGGCGCAGTGTTTAGTGCGATCGTGAAAGTTAAGCTCAATTTGCAATAGCCGGTAATAAGATGGGTGAACGAAAAATTCTTAAGTCTAACTCTTCCATGATTCGAAAATCACTTTAAGTCATTGGTCCATTCGTTAACATCCAAAAATCCGCACTGGGCCTGTGTGGCTTTTTCTCCTTACTCCGCCTATAGGGAAGACTTGTGCCCCAGCAATAGGTGTCCCCATTTCTAGTCCCACATCAATAGACTTATAGTGGCCTAATGTGTTGAAAAATTAAAAATCTCAAGAATTTTTAAATTACGGTACTCATTTCGCACTGTACTGTTTTATTGTCAAATCTATTGTTTTATTGTCCAATCTGTTGTTTTATTGTCAAATCTTTTGTTTTATTGTCAAATTTATTGTTTTACTGTCAAATCTATTGTTTTATTGTCAAATCAATGCCAAATGTCGTTATAGTTAAATTAAAGTAGGTACATAATTATATTATTGGCCTCTTTGTAAGTAAATGTGATTTACTCTGATTTTTTTATGTCAAAAGGGTGGCAAGCAAGCATATGGCCCACCTGGGGGCCAATCGCCTAACGGAAATGCTTTGGAAAACGCTAACGCTTACGATTTTATTTTGTTATTTCTAGCCGCCTGAGGTATTCAAATGCCTCGCGCTTTTTCTTTTTCTTTTGCATTGGTAATAACAATATTTAAAAAAATGAGCGTGAGGTATTCGAAAACCTCAGGCGGCTAGAAATAACAATATAAAATCGTAAGTGTTAGCGTTTCCCAAAGCATTTCCGTTAGGCGATTGGCCCCCTGATGGTAAGCGGTCACTATAGCCTATAGACGCTTGCAAATTGCGATACCAAAAATATTAATCGCATCGTTGCCTACCCTGACCCAATCCCCCACGTCGTGAAGCCGTGGGGGCTAGTTGACTAACTATGGATTCTAGGATTGCTATGGCTATCGCTATCGCTTACGATTTAATTATGTTTCTTCTGATCGCCTAAGGTTTTCAAATGCCTGATGTTCTTTTTTCTTTTTTTGCATAGGTAATAACAACATAAAAGGAAATGAGCGTAAGGTATTTGAAAACCTTCGACGGTCATAAATAATAAAATTTAATCGTAAGCGATAGCGATAACCATAGCAATGCCAGCAGGCGATTAGCCCCCTGCAACCTTACTCATTGATAGAAACATAACACCACCAAAAGGTAATGTTATTTTACTGTGATCTTCTGTACGGTGGAGATTACTTCCACAGACGGGCGCTCCAATTCGAGTGGGTAATCAGCTATACCCTACCTTCTTTTTTTTTTCTCGGCCCCGGTATCAGATTGGTTCTGGACAGAGGTTTGGAATGTTTTCTGGTAACATTAAAAGTTAGTAATTTGCTCTATTTAACAACAAGTTGTACACAGTTAAAAGGCGATATTGCAAAGTTTTATTCCGTATTTTATAATTCGGTGTTTATTGTTACCAAGCCTTAGATTTAACTGCTTATTTAACAACAAGCTGTACACAAATAAAAGGCGATATTGCAAAAGTTTTATTCCGTATTTTATAATTCGGTGTTTATTGTTACCAAGCCTTAGATTTAACTGCTTATTTAACAACAAGCTATAGACAGCTAACAGGCGATATTGCAAAGTTTTATTTTGTATTTTATGATTCGGTGTTTATTGTTACCAAGCCTTAGATTTAACTGCTTATTTAACAACAAGCAGTACACAACTAAAAGGCGATATTGCAAAGTTTTATTCCGCATATTATAATTCGGTGTTTATTGTTACCAAGCCTTAGATTTAACTGCTTATTTAACAACAAGCTGTAGACAGCTAAAAGGCGATATTGCAAAGTTTCATTCCGTATTTTATAATTAGGTGTTTATTGTTACCAAGCCTCAGATTTAATACTGTGCATGAATTAAGAAAGCCAAGTGTCCTAAATGACGTGTCTTATTGAGAGGAATTACTTATTATAATGCTAATTTGGATATCTGCAGTTTGTAAACGATCTTTCTGGTTTATGTGATGACATTTCTTTTTGTTACAATGTATGAAATAAGTTATATTTTCAATTTAAATTTTAATTCATTAATTGTACATATAACACGTCTGTTATTAGTCTAATGGAAATGAAAATAAATCTATAATAAACACGAGCGATTCATTGTTCTTCCTCTGTTTCTGTTTTTTAAATAATAATTATAACACATTTGCTCGTAAAGCGTCTCTTATTGCAAAAATTTCATTATCATAATCTATCACATTACACACGCGTGCGGGTACGCACAGCTTATTATATTCCGCCTAAAAAAGAACGATACTTTTTATACGATCTGTATCGGTAACAAATTAACAAAAATATTCATTTACTTTATTAGTAACACTGGCTGTTTTCGTTCCTTTGCCTAAAAAAGCGTGGATGCGCGCACATCGCTAATCTGTGAAAAAGTTATTTCTTTTTCTTTTCGCTGTATTGTTTTTATTTGAAAATATTGTCAAGTAGTTACGAATTTATTAATTTGACACCGCCAGAAGTGGAAAAAGGCCACTCTAAGCCTCTTGCCCGAAAAATCCACGGATAGATACTTACAGTCAAGCGTATCAAAATTTCATCTTATGGAAAACAAACAAAGGAGCAAATTCATTTTCAGAAAGTACGTATTTAGGTAGTATTAGTTCCTCGCAAATGTGTTATAAAATGTCGTATGACATTCGTGCGGTTTGATAATTACTAGTGATGTTACGGTCTTGAATTTTGACAAACCGGATTTGATCGGTTAGTAATACATGCAAATCGGTTTCCGAACCGAACCGCCGAATTTTCAGTAAACCGCGGTTTGAACCGGTTTGAACCGTTTGATGAGTTGACGAATGAAACTTACGAAACAACAGGTGCTATTTTTTTTAATTCTACATATTTTATTGATATTTCATCGTGCAAATATTTAAAGGTAATTGAAAAATAACAATTAAAATATGAAAACAAATAATAATAATCAGAATTAAAAATGTCAAAATAAAAATAAACAAATACCGTGTTTAAAAAATTACAAAAAAAATATATAAACTCTATTAATTACATAAAATCGTACTTCTTAACTTTGAGAATAAAATACAATTTTAATAATCAACAATATAATAAATACGTAACTTATTTTTGTAAAATCATTTGAGTCGTAGAAACTTTCTTTGGTACAAACAACAATTAAAAAGTTTTCTTACAACTATTTAGGAATAATATTTGGTCTATTTTTTTAGAAGCTGGGCAATTACGTCGCATATTACATAATAATGAAAACAAAATTACACCGTCAAGTTAGTCAAATCTACCAGAGTCCGTTTCATTTCGGTTCGGTCGGTAAGTCGGTTATGGCTGTTGTATTTAAATTGTCGATGCGCGCTAACCGTATCCGCTGCTGTAAGTCGGTTCGTATTGGTCGGTCAAGTTTTATTAGGGTCGGTAAAGCACGTCAGGAGCCGCACGCGATTTGTGGATGGCGGCATAAACAAGAATTGACAGGCGCGCGTGCGCGCAGCGCGATACGAACGAATGCCACAGTAGAACCGGTTTACAAAGACGTTAACCGATTCAACTCGGTCCATGCTCAAACCGGTTTGAACCGGTTTGAAAAGTCAAGTCGTTGCATCTCTAATAATTACAGCCTCTGCCTTCTTATAGCCTCTAACAATATCGCCTCGGCTGTAATTCTCAACTTACCGCACTTATATCATTGTACTATTATAACATTGTCTTTTTTATTGTTGTCTCTCAATTCTCCTGCATAAATATGCATTATAAAACACAAAGCCGTACCTTTTCGTGTCGCTTTAAGCGCTTTTTATTAGAAGTGTAGATGGAACACAACTCTTTTTTTGGAGTTAATAATAATTGTTTTTTTAAGTATGTCTACCAACTAAACTAAGAGTTTAATGCATAGAAAAAAATGTCACCAAGAAAAAAGTAAGTAGGTAGCAGAAAGATCTCCGAATATATAATATATCTTTCGGTTGATAACACTTGGGCGTTTGTTCGGCTCATAATTCGTGGGGTATCGCGACCGAAGACTAGGCCATTTAACATGAGTTACTGCGAAGGGTTCCGCGAGAGTAAAAATGGTTTATTGCTAATGGTATTTCTTGGTTTCGGTTAAACGACCTCAACTTTGTAACTAACAGTTGAATAAATGTTGGACTGAAA